GCTAAGTAAAAGGAAGAGATTTCCTGCTACACGTCTGTTATCTATTTAGTATCACCTGGGGGATTGAGAAAATGCCACTGTTCTCAAATTTGTATGCCTTTTTTGTTATGACAACCTTTCAACAAACCTGGCCTCATCCCCCGTGGATATCTTATCAGTCATTAAGACTGAATATGGCCTTATTGTCCCAAAGTCTAACTATCACACAGATTTAATGTATTTTTTTTACTCTTCAAACACTTGTGTAACTTACATTTCAGTTATTTCCTCCTCAGCTAAGGTCAGGGATGAGTCATTTTTAGAAAAAGCTGTAAAATCTACATCAGTTTGTCTGAGATACAAAGTCCGCAGAATTTAAGGCTTTTACAGTGGTATAAAAACTACAATGTCTGTTTATGTGAATGACGTGGGGAAAAGGTTTTACAACAAGCTAGCATCATTGTTTACTCTGAAAACATGCCAGTGGGTTTACAGACTTGAAATCTGAAACTCAATGGAAGAGGTGCTTTGTTGGAGGTATTTTCACTACTTCCTTATTTTGCTCCTCAGGACAAATATGTGGTTAGTTGGACCAAGTCCTGCTTATTCTGTATGGTTTTTAAATTATTTATTATTTAATATCATCCTCCAAGTAGCTCATTCCTGGGCATGATATTGAAGCCATATATTCACAGTTCTTGGATTTTTCTTAGTTTTAGTTTATGTTGAGACATTAAACACGAACTGTTCTCATCCATTTGCACAGGTTCAACGTTTGAAAGATAAAACTTAGTTATGTGTACCATTTTTTTTTTTTTTTTTAAGTTTAAATTTCCAGGTTTTTAGTTGGAAATTTAAATGAACACTTTCCATAAAAGTTGTTTTTCCATGTATGGAAAGTTTTTAATTTTTTATTGAGCTTAGCCTTAAAATCCAAAATGGCTGCATTGTAGCTAAATGAAATTGTTGCTAGTAGGAACACATTTCTTTGTACTTTTGATTAAATATCTTAGTCTTTTTTTACCCAAACGATATTAAACTCCGTGACAAACTAGTTGCTTTAATATTAGGAACTTAAAAATGCAGAGGTTAACATTATCATAAGGTTAACTTTTTCTTAGTTATACGTTGCCAAAAAAAGCACTTTAGCTGGTCATTCCCAGATCCAAGTTTTTATCTCAGAGGAAAACAAAATGTTGCATAACCGGCCAGTATATTCCTATTTATCGAACTACTGCCAACATTTCTTACAACTGTACCACTGAATGCAGACGAAATGCCCCCAATGTGCTGCTGAAATGTGCCTCCACACTTAAATGTTATTTTACTTTAATGCATGGTGGAAATATAACTGTGAATATGTGTTGTGTTGCCCAGCTTTCAATTCTTTATAGAAATATTTTCAGGTTGGTCTCATCACCCATTAGATTGTAAGAAGTTAAAATAGAGGTAAGCAGAAAGCACCGTAGTTGGATCTATCCAATGTTACATAAGATTTATCCTATACTTTATTTCTGTACCATTCAGGAAATCGCTGGAGGAAGCAATTTTAAACAGACTGCTATAAAATCTTACTGATGTGTTTGTTTTAAGTTGTTGATTTTCCAGCAGTCAGACTGGTCACTGAGTACACAAATAAGCCAATCCCACTTTTTTCCAAACTTGGTTCGAAAAGACAAAGTACTTTGGTCTAATATCTTTCCCAGGTTTTATGTTTTCACCAAAACAGCCCTTTAAATGGACCGGTATACAACATAATAGATAAATCGCATTTGACAGAGACGATGTAAAAGTTCTGCGTAATAATTCTTACTGCACAGTGCAATGCATGACATGTTCCTCCATAGGCATCTAATTTTGCTTCTTCTCTCCAGACTTTTATTTTTGAACACTGAAAGTAAGATAATTTTTGTTGTTGTTGTTGCATTTGCATTTTTCAGTTTTCATGTTTTGTATTATTCAATTACATTTGTTTTTGTTTTGGCAGTGGAAGGTGTGTGTGAAGTCATGCTGTGCTATGCATTTTCTCACAGTTTTTACCTGTTTAGTTTTTTTTCTATGACAATAAAATAAACGTCTTTTCTTTTCCTCTCTTAGCTCATCGAGTTGGGATATGGTGGAGGTATCTCCTGACTTTTTAAGGGAAACAGTGGAAACAGCTGAATCAGAAAATTAAATGATAGTCAAACTACAGAGCAGATAATATCCAAAATGAGCAAAAGCATGTGCTTTAATAATAAAAAAGAAATGAATGGTCATAAAAGAAGTTGCGTTAATATGTATTTACACATTAACTTATTGATACAGATAGATATTCAGAGCTGTAAATATTACCCATGTTTCTGTAACATTTTAATTTTAAGGCATAAAAGCAGCAGTGCTTTAAGATTTCCACTTAAAGTATTGCTCAGAGGTACATAAACTGTAGCCAGTTCATTCCTACTGTAGCTACCAGACAAATGCCAAAGGTATTACAAGTACTCTAAAGGTGGCCCAAGTACAACCACTGGTACCTGTACTGCTGAGAACCTTTGACTTAATACAGCAGTCTCACACTCAGATCCTCCATGGCTGATGTCCTGCTGCTTTTAGATGTGTCCCTTGACCTACACAGCTGAATGTATTTGGCTGAAACGCATCACTGGCATGCAGTGTAGCTATACAGAACTCTGCTAATGGGCCCATATTAATGTCAGCTTTATTTAAGCAGAGATATATCTAAAGGTTGCAGGGCACTGAACCTTGAGGAATGGAGTTTAAGCCCACTGAACTTGAGGAAATATTAAAAAACCTTTTGTCCCCACTTAGTGACATTTATCAATCATTCTTCTGTCTGGTTTTTTCATTCTTTTTAAAATCTATTCATGCGTGGCTCCAGACTGTGGAAAAATCCCAAGACACCTGCTTGTAGTAGTGAATTTGAGGCGTTCTGGAGCTGTATGTTTTTTTCTGCGTCTAACTTCCTGGATCCTGTTTGAGTATTTGCATCCTACTCGATGCCTCTGGCACATCTCTGAAAGTGATGTTGACACAGCCCTTATTCAATCCTATTCAAATTACTCCCAGGGGAGATAATTATAGCCAAGAGCGGCAAGACACAATTGTTGTTGTTGAGCTTCCTGGAAAAATGTGGCTCCCTTTGGAAGAATAACTTCATCATGCCACTTTGCATGAATCACAGAAAATATAAATCTTTTGCTTGTATTGTTGTAAACAACACATCAAGGCAGTTTGTTCTTATAATTTTAATCTTATAATTTTGTTAATATTTTATTGTGAAAATGAAAAACAGGTCATGCTTGTATTTGATATAAGGATATATACACCATTCAGGTTCTACCTGCCCAACAGGGCAATCCTGTACATTACCCAGAATCAGAATACAGGGAAGAGCTTTTCACTTTGGATTTACTAAAACAGAACTTTCATATTCCTTCTGCTAAAACTACAATGTTTGCAAATCTCATTGATCTGTAAACTATAATGGATTCAAAGTTATTCAAATACAACCCTGTGCCAGAGCACAAAACATTACAACAGGACTATACTTTACTTCTGTAAAGTCGTTTCAGGAAGTAACAATGACACATCACTTCTCAGCAACATTGTCTGTTTGCTGCTATAGGCGCAGCTTGATTAATATTTAAAAGAAGTTATTTATTTTTGGTAATTAATTCAAAGTAAAACTCTGAATGGTATACTTTAAGTTTTTAATCTCTGTTGATTTGAAAAAATAAAAAGGGACAGTTAAAAAAAAGGTTACATAAGAACAATAAAACTGTTCTTTTAATACAGGATTGTTATGAATAGTGTTGTGAAAGACAGATGACAGTTTTCCACCATGCAGTCCCTGATGTTTTAACAAGGTGATTGACAAAGAAGCTGGCTGTTTGAAAGAGTTTTCTTCAAAGATCTGAAGGAAAAATTGCAGTGAAAAAAGGTGTGAATGTAACATAAATAACTTACGGTTGAAAAAAAAAACAAATTGGGGCAGAACCTGAGGGGTGGACTGAGGTTGGAATAAAAACTACAAGAGTCAGACAGATGTATGCAGGACATGGATTACAGCAGTCATATTCCCCGTGTTCACCCATCCTAAGCCTGGAAACAATGTCAGAGACGTCTTACTTGGGTTAAGGGGAGTAAAAAAAAACTTTTAATAAATATCTAGGCAGCCTTAATCTGCATGTTACACTACACTTATGCATTTATCCATGTAAAATGAGCATCAAAAATCTATGAAGTGCTGTAGAATACATGGGCTTACTTTTAAGTGGAATGTTTTGGGGGGGTTTTTCTGAAAAATTGCATGATTTCCAGCTATATGCCATAATCACCAATACAGAAAGAGAAAAAAAAAAAACGTTTTAAAAAAAAAAGTAACACTGAGGGCTGAATCTATAATGCATGCAATTAAATTGCCAAAGCATCAAATACGGAAGGTCCCAGAGTTATAACACCTCTTCTTCTCTAGTGTCCTGATCAAGATGGATAAAAAAACAGGGAAATAAAACGGAAGCAAAGTGTGAACACAACCACCACCATAAAGGTTAATTAAGTAATGTTTTTTTCCCTGTGGAATCATTTGGAAATAATAAGAGGGGTAAATGTTTGTAGGTAGATTTTTTTTTTCAGTTTTCATTGCAGAGACTAAAGACCTAACATGATGCGTTTACCTTGAGAAGATTAACTAGATATCATAAAAAGTGTGCTATAGACATCAGGTTAGAGATGAATAGCCTTTCTGCAATGTCCTTTACAGGTTTTACTCATTTGCACAGTAATTCATTAACCTTAAAGACACAAGGAAATGCATTCCTAACAAGAAGCAACAGGAAGTTTCCTTCTATTTTTTGTATGTCTGTCTGTGGATACTGATAAATATCTGCCCTACATTTCTATCTGTTTTCTTAATGGGATTGAAAGTAAATTATGTCTAAACTACTACTGTTTGCTTGATAATAAGACCATAAACAGTGACGTCCACTCATTAATCTTAAATAACTATTTTGCACTCCTAGGGGAGCCTGCCCAGTTTGACCCAAACTTCAATGGACCTATACGCAAAAGGTGCAACTTCATCATATTTATATTTGTGTATATATATATATATATATATATATATATATATATATATATAT